CAAAACCACCGCCAGTGTCCGACTGGCTTAAAAAAACCCCAGCATCATTTCAACACTGCGTTGAATTCCTTCCGCTTACTGGTCTATTGCTTTTCTATCATCATTTGGATCAAATGGAACAATTTATATTTTCCTCAAAAACTGTCCATTTTACCTACGTTTTCACATTTGTAAGTATGCTCTCATAATTTGCTATTTTCCACTCTATTGTTTTACTGTCTCTTAAATTAGCTTCGAAATGAGTTCAATAATCACATTTAATGTTTTATTTTTAGTATTTTCATACCATTTAAGTTGTTTTCTACCATCTCCTACACTTTCTGTGTTTTAATTTTTTTTTTCTCTCTGGTAATATGAATGTTGGTTTTAAATTCTACCAGTATAACTTTTGATGTATTTAAATATTATTTAAGCTATATTTTTCAATGCATCAATTTCAGAAATTAAATTATTTCTACTGATTCTCATTGGTGAAAAAAGAAATCAATACTCTTAAAAGAATGACTTAGTCCATGCCATGTCTGTCTTAATCCTTGTACTAATATTTATTGATATCAAGACTAAAATTTTTATTGCAGTCTATTTGGGTTGCATTATTATAATTTTGTCACTAAAGAATATACATTTTGTTTTGAAAGTAAGTCACTAAAAATACTTTCTAACTATGATTCAAAATCCAGAGACAAGTTTTAAAAACATTGATAAATATCTGTAATATGTTGTCTTTCATGTACAAAGGAAGAAATACAAGAAAATATACATGCATCTCCTCATCTGTGCAAAATGTTTTACTTTATTTCATACAGTTAGTTTACATTTTAGAAGTATGTCAACATCTGTTGCAAGCAATATGGCAGATTAGATAATTTGACACTCCTGAAAAAAACATTGTAAAATTGTTTAAAGGCTGGATAAAGAACATTTCACAAATATTTTATAAGGCATTGCTGGGCTGAGAAGATTGGAAGGATCCAAAGAAATCTAAAAGGGAGTAGACAAAGGGACTCTGGGAGGTGAGCAAATTCGAATTTTCTTTTTTTTCTTGAGAGCATCAACTAAAGCCTAGATACAGAGTTGACCCTTGAAGAACATGGGTTTGATCTGTGTGGATCCACTTACATGCAGATCTCGTTCAATAAATGCCACAGTAGCACTGTACACCCAAGACCGACTGAATGTGCAGATGTGGACTTGTGGATTCTGAAGGCCGGCAATAAAGTGACATGTGGATTTGTTCGAGGGTCAACTGTACCAAACTCAGCAGAGTCACATGGCTAACAGGGGACCAGAGGTAAAGCCTGAGACCCCACTGCTGGGAAGTCCAATAGGAGACCCCCATGGGGGCAGGACCAGCCCAGGGCTATGGGCTCATCTCAGTCTGAAGAGTGCAGACACTTAACAGCTGCAAGGGGGTGAAGGGAACCAGAATACCCTGAGTTTATTGCTGCAGAGAAAATAAAAATCTCATCTGAGAAGCAATGACTGCACATCGTGTGGATGTGAGGCTTGAATCCACACCACTCAGTGGTCGGGAAGAAAATCTCAGCCATACGAGTTAATCAAAATAGACTTCAAGGGGTGGTACCTTCGGTGAATGGCAAAAACAAGTACACATCTGATCTCTAGAAATAGAACGGGAAGGGAACAGCCTCAAGAATATCCATTGAAAGGGGCCAAAGGAATAATATGACTTACGGGAGAAGAACACAGTCATTATCCCCTAAAAGTATCCTCCCAGGGAGAAAGTTNACACTACTGATCTCTAGAAATAGAACGGGAAGGGAACAGCCTCAAGAATATCCATTGAAAGGGGCCAAAGGAATAATATGACTTACGGGAGAAGAACACAGTCATTATCCCCTAAAAGTATCCTCCCAGGGAGAAAGTTCTCTGCCTTTGTGATGCTTATATGCTGGAGAGAAAACTGGATAAGCAAATAATCAAACAAGGCACAGATAAACACCCAATTACAGGTTCAGCTCAATTCTATGAAGAAGGATCTGACATTAAGAAAGCACAGCAGAGTGGAAGCTGACTTTGGAAGGTGAGGAAAGGCTGCCGTTTTGCTCTGTACCCTGCTCCTCCGAGGGCTGTGCTAACAAACAGGATACCCTTGGTCCCTGAGATGTCGGGGAGAAAGGCGTAAAGACTCCATCAGCCTGGAGAGAACCAGGTAGAGTAAATCAATTGACCTTAGGGGTTTAGAATGAGGCGCCAACTAAAGCCAGAGAAGACATTGCCAATCCCTCAATTAAGTTACAAAGTGAATGTTAAGTAAAAGTGAAAGGATGAGACACATGCAGAATTACATTTTAGGGGTTTCCCTGGTGGCTCAGTCAGCAATGCAGATCGCTCCCAGTACAGGAGACCCGGGGTCCATCCCTGGGTTGGGAAGATGCCCTGGAGAAAGAAATGGCAACCCACTCCAGCACTTTTGCCTGGAGAATCCCATGGACGGAGGAGCCTGGTGGGCTATAGTCCACGGGGTTGCAAAGAGTCGGACACAGCTGAGCAACTAAACCACAACAGAATTACATTTGGGATATTCGAGCTACAAAAGCTTTTTCTAAATCACAATCAGGCAGAAGTCTGCAACAACAGGGTAGAGAAGTATAGCCAAGTGATTAAGAGCAGGCGGCCTGGGAACCTAAACCCCGGCTCCGAGCCAGGCTCCGTTAGAGGCTCCTGCACAGAGGACCAGGATCCCAGTTGTCTGCCCTTCCCACCTCCTCAGACCAGCTCTCCCCTCCTTCCCGATGTCCTCCACACCGAGCAGAAGAGGGCCAGCCCCCGGGGCAGCCGCGCCTCGGCCGAGGGCTCGTGTCATTTCTTTCCAGGCAGAACAGCCAGGACGCTGAGTCCACAACCCAGGGGTCGGCAGCAAATCTACTGGCCCCAGCCTGGGTCACAAACAGCTGTGACTGAAGGTCAAGGGTCACGATACAAACACAGCTGCTGTGAACCATCCCTGCGGATTGTGTGGAGACGTCAGGGAAGGAGTGATAAGACGTGGACTGCTGTGGTTAGTTACACGATAATATGCATACCAGAAATCACGAAAATTACTGTAATTTTTTACATCTACATTTACAGCTACAGCTACATTCACATCTACATTTACAACCTAGATGTCCATTGACAGATGGATGGATAAAGAAACTGGGGTACATATACACAATGGAATACTACTCAGCCGTAAAAAGGAACACATTTGAATCTGTTCTAATGAGGTGGACGAAACTAGGGCCCATTATACAGAGTGAAGGAAGTCAGAAAGAGAAAGAGGAATATTGTACGCTGACACATATATGTGGGATCTGGACAGATGGCACTGGCGGATTTATTCTCAGGGCAGCAATGGAGAAACAGACATAGAGGGCAGACCTATGGACGCGGGGGCAGGAGACGAGGGAGAAGGGGGGATGCGTGCAGAGAGAAACAGAAATTCACAAGTCCGTGTGTAAAACAGCCAGCCGGTGGGGATCTGCTGCGGGACCCAGGGAACTCGAACAGGGGCTCTGCAAAGGGCCGCAGGGTGAGGAGGGAGGGGGACGCGAGGGAGGCCTGGGAGGGAGGGGCAGGCGTGCGCCCATGGCTGATTCTTGTCGACATGACAGAAACCCACAACATTCTCTAAAGCAAGTATCCTTCAATTAAAAAGTGTTAGAAAATATATCGTAGATCATACACTAATTTTTTAAAAGGAAGTCTTGGTTTTTAAAGAAAAATTTCAAATTTTGGAAAAAAATTTTTAGAAGGACTAGGACAGAAATCTATTCGTTATTTCAGTAGCTTCATCATTTTTAAAATACTACCAGTATGTAAAATGGAAAGCATTTACAAGTAGGAGTAATATCTGAATAATTCTATTTAATAAACCCTCTTGCCGACTGCTTATGTGAAAGAAAAACAAGAGAGAATACAGGTGAATATGGAAAGGGATAAGGAGCGGTCCTTATCCTAAAGAGCTTTTAATCTTGCAACACAGATCATCCTCACACAAGAGGAGCAAGGGGTGTGCAGATGCAGAGGTCAGTTAGGAGTTGGGCCCTCCAGCCAGTAAGGACGTCTGCGCAGTGACTTTCACGGTTTGGACTACTCTACTATTCATGAACACTGCTAAAAATATCAGAATACTGTGTCTCTATTCCTATTAACACTTTATAGAATATAAATAGCATGCATTTTGCTTACTCACAAAACAAGTATCACATTGCAAAAATGCCTACCAAATCTCAAAGAACAAGGCCCAACACACAAGAAATACAGAGTAAAAGTCTGCAAAAATAATGTTATAACTGAGTTTTATTCACTTAACCTATGAAGCTAAGTGTTGCTGGCTCAGAGTATTTTTCTAAAATGTTACATGTGTGTTAACACGACAAGAAAAAAATCAAATGCCAGTAACTGAGTGTCCTGAAATCCTTTTGAAAGTGCCTAAGAGAGCAGACGGCACTGTGAGTGAGTCAGTCCAGAAACACAGCGTCCAGCCTTTTCTGCCGACAGGTGGACCGGGCACTCCTGAGCGCTCCAGCCACAGGGCAGCCCGAGTCACTGGCCACAACTCAGGAATCCAGACGCAGCAACTCTGTCCCAGCGCTTCGCAGAGTGAGCTTCACAGAGTCTACAAAACTCACAGAAAACCCCCGCTCTCATTTGCTTCTACCGCAGATTGCGTGCAGAAAACGGCATAGACTGCCCCCGACACTCCAGCCCACAGTGATGAAACAACTTCTGTACAGAACAGTGAGTCTAGAAACGCCACTCATGAAATAGCACACCGCAAACCAAACCAAAACAATAAAAAAAATGTTAAGATTTTAAGGACTAAACGTCACCATGTTGGTAAAATACTCAATTGGTAATCACCACGTACAGAAACAAAATAGAAAATGCTGGTTTAAGTACTTAATTATGATACATTTGTTGTTTGTAACATAATTTTAAAGCTTATAACATTCTCTTATCTAGACCACCTAAATCTAAATTTAGATACTTACGTTATTGCACTCTCCAAGGAAATACAGTGCAAATCCATCAGCTTTTGTGGCTGCCAAAGTAACAGAAAAGGAAGAAACTAATCTCAATGGAAGAATATAACATGTACGAATTCTCTAAGGTGAGGCTTCAAATATGAGTCTTTCGAATGGATTTGTTAGCATAATTAATTCTCATACAGTAAACTGAACTAAATAACTTATGGTTTTACTGAATTACATACGTAGAATATTTTCATTTCTTTTCATTAGCTATTTCTGTTTTTAAGATGTGACATTCTCAAAGGCACATAGCAATGTACTATGTAATAATATACTGGTCAAAGTTTAAATATCAGAGTTATTAGAAAATATTTTTAAAATTTGAGACATATTTAATTTTAAAGCATTTCAAAATAGACAAATGGCATTTATAATACTGAATAACCAATATAATATAGGCATCAACCAAAAAAGAATGATGTCTATGCCTACATGTCATCAGTGAAGAGAACATCATTTAATTTACTTTGGTATAATCTTTCTACTAGGAGGAACATAAAACATTCCTTACCAATTTTGATGATGCTACTCAATTCATAGAGGAGTAGCTGGTTGTCCCCTCCTGTATCCAGCCGTTGTTCTATATAGCTGTTTAGTTCATACACAACTCCTTGCATATTTGTATCTTGATACTTTGAATAAAAAAAAAAGAGGCATAATTAAACATAAAAAAATTAAAATTCCTTAGTTTGTCACATACTCAATGAATATACATGGCTTTATATTATATATTAGCTGTTCATGATGTTTTTATAGAGCATGACTTAATTATTATGATGGACGATAAAAAGAGACTGAAAGTTAAAATTGCTACAACTTAGGATATCTATAGACTCCATGAATGAATATTTATATTAAAATACAGAATGTTACAAGTTTGTTTCTGAAGTGTTAAATACAGTGGAATCAAGCAAGCTGGATCAGTAAAGACAGTTCGGAAATTTGTTAAGTGACTGAAACGTCCTAAGATGCACTGCACTGGGTAAAACAAAGCTTGCTTATTACTCTCTACACACTGGGGTCCATGGAGTGACCCCTGGCCCGTGTGAGTCTGCTCTTGACTCTGCCACTAGAACAGGAGCGGGGGGCTCTCCCTGGAGCCGCCCCTGCGCCAGCAGGAGCCCCACAGCAAGCCCGTGGTGCTGGCCGCGCTGAGGGTCAGGGCGGGAGCCAGCGGACAAAGGCCCGGGAAGACGGCGGAGGCTGCGCCCAACGCTGGGTCTTCTTCAAGGGACTGAAAGTCCGTCTTCTGGTGAGCTTCCCTACCACCGAGCGCGCCTTCCCAAGCCTCCTCTCCAAACCACGGACATGGTGAACTTTAAAAATAAAAAATTCTCTCACTCTGAGGCTCCAAAGACTCCTGGGGCTTCCTAGCGCCCTTAGACTAAAGGCTTCTCCCAGGGTGGTCTCTGAACCCTGCAAAATGTGGTGATCGTCTGCTTGGGAAACCATCTCAGGCCGTCTCTCTCTCTCACTCGCTCACTAGACCACCCAGCCATCGTTCACTCCGAAAGCCCTACCGCTCGCTGTTACTGCTGGGCCCTGCACTCACCCCTCTGCGGGGTGAATACACAAAAGAATGGGTGAGCCGATCAGTCAATCATTCCACAAACACGCGCGGCCAGAGCTGACGATCCACTGCCACACACAGGCACTCTTCCCGACACGAGAAAGGCTCGAGCCTGGACAGAATAAAATCCCAGTCCTCAAGGAACTTACACTCTAGCTGGAAGAGAATAAGTAAGTAAGCTACACAGTGTGATGGAAGGTGATGGGCACGGCGCAGACGGGAGAGCCGGGAAGGCTGACGGTAACCGGTTTTGGAGGAAAGGACGGCTTTTTAAACGGGATGGTCAGGGATGGAAGGATCCAGGGACACGAGAGACATGGACAGGCTCCGGTGAAGGGCGGGTCTGCCTAGCGCCCCCGGCTGCCTTGTAGAAGGATGCTGGTGGTTCACCACCTACCTCTGCTACTGACCTATTAACAGACTCAAGTCCAGGCAGNCCCATAGACAGCAGCCCACCAGGCTCCTCTGTCCCCAGGGTTCTCTAGGTAAGAATACTGGAGTGGGTTGCCATGTCCTGACATTTAATGCAGCTGAAAATCAGAACTTCCCCAGTATATATTCTAATCTTGGCAAGACTGGAAGGCTTGCATGAATTCTTCCTATCAGCCCCAGTGACCCGCCCCTTAGCTATATCCGGTGGATGCCTCCTTCCTCGAGGCCATGACAAGTACATTCCCCAGGCCCCACCAGCCTGTGTGCAGAGCTCGGGGGAGTGGGCCACGGGTGACTCTGGGAACCACTGCCGTTCAGCCAGTTTTCCTGATTCACTGAGCAAATGGGATCCTGGCGTTGCAGGGAAGAGGAGGCCACGCATACTAACCAGAGACAAGGTGGGTGCTGTTAGCACAGTGGACAGAACTGAAGCTGCGATCAGAATGACCTGGCCAGGGGAGGTCTTCAAACTGCATCAAGCACCTGACCACACTGTCCCTGCAACTGAAACAGACAGGGCGACCTCCTGTTTCAAGGTGGGTTTATAGTCACTTAGTAGAGGCTGCTGCTGCTGCTAAGTCACTTCAGTCGTGTCCAACTCTGTGCAACCTCAAAGACGGCAGCCCACCAGGCTCCCCCGTCCCCAGGATTCTCCAGGCAAGAACACTGGAGTGGGTTGCCATTTCCTTCTCCAATGCATGAAAGTGAAAAGTGAAAGTGAAGTCGCTCAGTCATGTCTGACTCTTTGCGACCCCATGGACTGCAGCCCACCAGGCTCCTCCGTCTGTGGGATTTTCCAGGCAAGAGTACTGGAGTGGGTTGCCGTTGCCTTCTCCAACTCAGCAGAGGAGTCCCTGTAAAGATGACAACAGACTGACTTTTCCCTGACGATGCAATTCTGAGAAGAGGCCCTTCAGTGTGACCGGAATGCAGAGCTGAGATCAGTGACCAGCTGCTCTCCATCTCTTTGAGCAGGAAATGGGTCGTCACACACAGCGAGAGCAAGGAGACACTTGGGGTTATGGACACTTTATCACGAGGCTTCCTTTCAAGTCTCCGAGCTTTCATTTCTGTCATTTGCGTAATAAGAGCATTGAAATAGACTGTATTTAAGATATCTTTCAACAGTAACCTTCTGTGGCAATCTATGACCTCAAATTTTGTTGCTGTTTATATTAAACTTCAAATTCTAATCTTGAAAATAATAGATGGGTTACTTTTAGTAGACCCTGTTTCCTTTGATTAGCAATAATTGCATAAATACCATAAAAGCAAAATATTTAACTATGACTACTAAGTTATGCTAACATAATATTACCTCTCAAATATTAAAGGTTCAGATGGTAAAGAATCTGCCTGCAATGCAGGAGATCTGGGTTCAATCCCTGGTTCGGGAAGATCCCCTGGGGAAGGGAATGGCAACCCACTGCAGTATTCTTGCCTGGAGAATCCCATGGCCAGAGGAGCCTGGTGGGCTGCAGTCCATGGGATTGCAAAGAGCTGGACATGATTGAACGACTAATACACACACCTTCACACTTAGTGGATCATTCAAATCACAATAAACTGAAAATGTTAAATTATATACAAATATGAATAATAATAAGAATAAAAATTATTTGACCTCAGCCTTATAGTCGTTTTGCTGCTCATGAGTACTATTATGAGAGGAAAGGCAGAGGGAACAAGTGGAGATGAAAGTCAGCTAAGGCACTTCTCTTACGGAAACAACATGATGAAGAACATTTACCCAGGGATCAATTCAACTCAGTCAAATAAACTTTCAGTTCTACGTCTTGCCTAACAGGAAATTACAACAGTATATACGTGAGGTTGTTAAGACCTTGTATTTGCACAGCATTCCAACTTCGCAAAGTCCTTTCACCACTGCCTTTATTAAAAGAACCCATATAGAGTATGCACTGAATATCACAGACATTTCTCAATCAAGAGGAGTCAGAACTCGAAGATTCAGTGAGTTGGGTGGTGGAAACCTCAGAATCAAAGTGGACACAGTCACCCTCATTTTCTGTTCCATGTTGGTTTTCAAGCAGTACTTGCTTTTCATTAGAGAAACCACACACACACACACAAAGGTTGTGCAGAGATATGACTCCATTGACAGGACACTGTAGTGATCTAACATTAAAACTGGGAACTATCTCAGGGAAGCACTGAAATTGGGAACTCCATCAAGCTCTGACGGATGGTGTTGCTTCCCATGAAACTGCACCATGTCCTAAATCGTCCCCGTGAGTTTGCTGTGGTGCCTGAGGGCATCTGGAACACCATTTGGGAACACCATCGTCTATCCTGTATTTGCTATTTGGCATTCTACTGGGGTGAAGACCTTTCTGTTTTCCCTCATTCATTCATTTACAGGTGTATGGGCTCACAGATGCTTATTTCATTCAACATGTGTAACTAATTAATATTAATTTTGTTACACACACATTTTAATATTCAAATTGTCCCAAATCTGACCAATGGAAATCCCCTCAAAATAGCTCATATGCTCTTTCAACAAAGCTTCTTGATGCTTTCAATACTTTCTCACTTTCTCATCAAACATCTTGCTGGCCCTTGGTCCAGCCATTCCTGCTTCTCAAAGAAGCCCTAATTTCTTTCAGTGGCAAATGATATTTAAAATCCAAGAGCTGGAGCTATATGTGCCCACGACTGTCACTGACTCTAAGCTTCTCATCAACACAAATATAATATATATATACTATATATACATACTATATATATATATATATATATATATATGAGAGGGCCTCATGTAAATATATGTATTATATTATACTTACAAGGGCAATTAATCTATGACAAAGGAGGCAAGAAAATCCAATAGAGAAAAGACAGTCTCTCCAATAAATGGTGCTGTGGAAACTGGACAGCTACATGTAAAAAGGTGAAATCAGAACACTCTCTAGCACCATATGCAAAAGTAAACTCAAAATGGATGACGGACCTAAATGTAAGACCAGATACCATAAACCTCCTAGAGGAAAACATCGGGAGAGCACTCTTACACAAATTGCAGCGATATTTTCTGGATCTGTCTCCTAGAGCAAAGGAAATAAGAGCAAAAAAATTTTTTTAAAGGACCTAATTAAACTTAAAATCTTTTGCACATCAAAGGAAATCGTTAACAAAATGAAAAGACAACCTACTGGATGGAAAAGATAGTTGCAAATAATGATTGACAAGGAGTTAATATCCAGCATATATAAACAGCTCAATAATTCAACATCAAGAAAACAAAGAAACTGATTTAAAAATGGGCAGAAGAACTGAGTAGACATTTCTCCAACAATACTCAACATCACTAATCATTAGGGAAATGCAAATCAAAACCACGATGAGATATCTCCTCATACTTGTCAGAATGGCTACCACCAAAAAGAACACAAATAATAAATGTTGGTGAAAAGGGAACTCTTGTGCACTGTTGGTGGGAATGTAAATTGGTACAGCCACTGTGGAAAATAAGAGGTTTCTCAAAAACAAAAAACAAAAAAAAACCTGAAAATAGAACTATGTTAGGGCCAAGCAATTCCATTCCTGAGTATATATCCAAAAAATCCAAAGATACTAATTAAAACAGACACGTGTACCCCAAAGTTC